AATAGCTAACATTTACTGGGTATTTGCTGTAAGCCAAGCATGATTGTAAGAGCTGTACACACAATAATAAATGTATTATTTCATTGAAAAATAAATTTAAAAAGCAGTGCCTCGGAATTAGTAAATATTTTCCAAGTATGTTTGTACCCCTAGTCTCTATAGTAAAATTTTATCACAAATCCAGTAATAAGTTTGAATAGATAACATTAAATGAGTGCTTTCAGGAATTAATAGCTATTATTACACACCAGTTATCGGATGAAGGAATGGAGTAAGCATTTTCTTCAGTTACTCCTCACAGCAACCTCAGGAGTTGAATACTATGATTATCCTATCAGGAAAAGGAAGTTAAATAGTTTGCCTGGTGGCCAGGTCAGTACATAGATATTGGAAGAGGGTGGTACTTGGCTTCCTAGGGGGTAAGAGCCACATGGAGGAGACAAGGACTAGTATTTAGACAAAGCAAAACTAAAATAAAATAAAATCTTTCATAGTCCTGGGTTCACTAGAGACACAATCTAGTCTCTTCCCCACTCCATAGGATGATTTTACTACTTCAGGTTGCTGGTCCTGATTCATCAAAGAAAATAAAATATGTTTGATGCATTATAGCACTCATATTTTGCATCGCTTCTCAGCCTTTTGGCTAAGATCAAGTGTAGCACTCATATTTTGGAAAGATTTAAAAATCAGTTGAAACAAAAAAGTGGCCTACCTGTCTTAAAAAACTAGATAATTGAATTAATCCTAATTTTATATGTCCCTCCATATTTCAGATAATTAATGCTTTATTTTACTAGCCATGATAGTACGAGTTTTCTTAAAAGAAACTAAAGAAAAAATAAATCGTTTTGTTTTTGTTTCTTTAAAGCCATCAGCAAAAGTGGACCAAGAAACCTTGACAGAAATGGTGAAGCCTAGTATCGATTATGTGCGCCACAAAAAATTCCGATCTGGGAATTATCCATCTTCATTAAGCAATGAAACAGATCGCTTGGTACACTGGTGCCACGGTGCCCCTGGAGTCATCCACATGCTCCTGCAGGCTTACCAGGTCAGTGCTCAGGTATCCTCTCCCACGTGCGGTGCAGGCCTGTAGGTCGGCGCCTCTGTTAGTGGCACAAGCACCAGGGTTCAGGGGTCCAGTTCACCACCACACTTCCAGCTTGATTTTGGGAAGCCTATTTGGTTGCATACTAAAAGCCTTCTGGAATGAATGTTTTTATAAAATAAAAGAAAGTTGTTTACTTCTCCGCTGGTCACTGTGGTTCCTGCTGCAAGTGTGTTTTTGTGGGGTTTGTACTCATATGTAAAGCAAAACACACCTGATGGACACTAGTGCCTTCTGTTCTTGTGATGGGAGTTCTCAGTGAGGCAGGCGGCAGTATTCCAACCACATTTGGATTTTGTTGACTTCATACCATTTTCTACTTTTTGCATGCGTAGGCCATTATTGTTGGATATACTTATAATCATTTGAGAGCTTTTAAATTTGAGTTTAAAATAGTTACTAAATTATTTCTAAGAAATAAGGATGGTTAAAAAAAAAGAAGGATGGTGCTTACATTTTTGTATATCTGGGACATTATGGGAAAGTGAGCAGTATCATCAGTGGTTAAGTCTAGTAAGTTCAAAACATACTGGGCATGATATTAAGAGTGCTGCTCATTTCTGCCCTGAGATTTATCATGTAAGTTTAAAACAAATAGTGCTTCATTTGTCATTTTATTTTCCATTTAATACATCTATTTGTAATAGATGATGTTGGTATATAACATATCATTAAAAGTATACAACTATAACCACCATGATTGCTCTGTTCAACACAGTATTTTGGCAATTCTCTGCTTCAGAGAAATAGATGGAATTAATAGAGCAGAATTCATATTTCCACATGAGAATATCAATTGGTACCTGCATCAATTTTATTTTCCCATTATGTTTGACGGATAAATTATTTCAAAATTATCTGATAATAAATTATTTCAAAAAATTTTGGGAAATTAACTTGTATGATATACACTAATTTTTCAGAATTTTTTAGTTCTTCAGCAATAACAACAAAAATATTGAAGTAGTGTAAGACAGGGACATTCAGAAATGACTCAGATGATATTTGTTGAGAGCATAGCACAGTGAAATATACCATTTCGGAGTCAAAGAACATAGTGATTCATCTTCACATCACCCTGCTTTTTAAATTAAACCATAATTCTGTTCAAATGATTGCCTCTCCTGTTTTTAGTATTTTGGAGCACTTGTAACTTCAGTGACATGGAGATATCTGTAATATAAATGTCCCACAGTAGGGTGTGTGCATAATATTGCTGGTAAAAACAGGGACCTCTTCATATTCAACACATTTGCAAAAGGCGTGAATGGAAAGCTTTTGTTTGTGGAGCTCTTTTCCCCTTTCCCCCTAAAGACATCTGCCTTTGCAGCTGGGCGCTCCTCTGCTCCAGCACGTCCTGTGGGGGCCTTCATCCTGGGCACCCACTTCCGCTGGCCTTGCTGACAGTCGCTGCTGTTTCCACCACCTAGCGTCACCTGGTGGAAGGCATCTCCATGTCCTGCTGAGGACCGGCTCCTCCTGCAGGGCACTGCCCAGATGCCATTTGAATACCTCCCCTCCCTCACTGATTCCAAAACAGAAATTCCTCCTGTTTGGAAAGCAACAGCCTAAGCTGTTAAGGTCCCACACTTAGTGATTCAAACCTGATTTTGTCCTCTACATTAAGATTGTTGAACATGAGGAAGGGGAAGATTATCAGAATCTTCTAGGGGCAGAAAGCCATCAATGGTAATTTGCAAAAGTGTAAATAATCTAGTTGTCCAGTGAGGGGTAAAGACTACACCTTCCTCCTGGGAGTGCACACCCCATGAGCCGGAACTTCTGTGCCTGTGTCCAGTCAGTGAGTGGAGGGGCTGAATTCATGTGTGACCCAGGCAGGGGCAGGGGCCAGAGAGACAAGCACAGGTCTAGACTGTTTTCTCTCAAGTTACAGTTATTTAAATTAAGAATGTCCATTTCCTAAGAGCTGTATCTTAAAATTGATTAGATGTTTAGAATGGTTATATAACACTCTTTTAACAGTTTATTGTCTTCCATATAAAATCAGTTCTTCAAGTATGTTTAGGGAGGCATAAAGTTTTCAAGTATTTGAAAAATAATATACTTCATAAATAAAACTATAATTTGAGTACAGATTCACAAAATTTATTTTCCCTTCTGTAGGTGCTAATCTTGTTTATGTATGACTTTTTTGGGGGTTTTTTGGTACCGGGGATCGAACTCGGGTCCTGTGCTTGTGCAGCTGGCGGCGAAACCACTGAGCTAAATCCCCAGCCCTGTATGACCTTTTAGATGATATGTTGCATTCTGTTTGCCAGTGTCATGCTGAGAGTTTTTTTGTTTTTTGGTACCAGGGATCAAACTTGGGTCCTTGCGCCTGCGAGACAGTCGGGAGAACCACTGAGCTAAATCCCCGGCCCTGCATGCTGAAGGTGTTTGTATCTACATTCATTAAAGAGATTGGCCTGTAGTTCTCATTTGATTGGCTCTTCACCTGGTTTTGGAATCAGGGTAGTACTAGCTTCCAGGAATGGCTCTGGGAGTCCTTCTTCCTTTTTGATTTCATTAAAGAGCTTGAGGAGTATTGGTGTTCGATCTTCCCTGAAGTTCTTCTAGAATTCTGCAGTGAATCTATCTGGATGTGGGCTTCTCTTGGTTGGTAGTTTTTTTTATTATGCTCCAGTTTCATTGCCTGTTACTGGATTATTCAAGGCTTTTAAATCTTGATTCAGTTTTGGTAATTCATACATATCTAGGAATCTATCCATTTCTTCTGAATTCTCCAATTTATTGGCATACAAATTTGCAAAGCAGTTGTTAATCTTTTTGATTTTAGCAACAAACTGATTTTCATTAATCTTAGATTTGTCTTTATTTCACCTTTATTTTTAAAAGAATTTTTGGTTGTGGAATTCTAGTTTGACAGTTCTTTTTTTCCTTTCTATACTTCAGAGCTAGTGTTCCATTGTCTTTGGGCCTCTATTGTTTCTGATGAGAAATTAGTCATTCATCATACTGGCTTCTTACTGTGTGTGTTTGTGTGTGTGTGTGTGTGTGTGTGTGTGTGTGTGTGTGTGTGTGTTTACGTGCGCTTGGGAGTGTGTGTGCATATGCATGTTTTTTCTCTGAAAGCTTTTAAGATTTTTCTCAGTTTTTGATTTTAAATAGTTTAATTGCCATGTGCCTATATGTATTTGTTTATATTTATCCTGTTTGAGAGTCCTCGATCTTCTTGAAGTTATAAATATGTATCTTTCACTACATTTTATGTTTGTCCATTATTTTTTCATAGGTGGGGGGGTTATTTTCAAGTTTCTTTTTCTTCTCTGTAATTCAGGTTGGATAATTTCCATATATGTAGTTTTATATTCACTAGTGACTTGCTTTGTCATATCCAAGCTGCTATAAGCCTACCCAGTGATTTTATCTTACTTATAGATGTCTTTTCGAGTCTGTAATGTCCATTTATTTCTTTTCTAATAGTGCCTTTCTCCTCCGAATGTTCCTAGCTATGTCTTAGTTACTTTTGTCATTGCTGAGACAAAACACGTGCCACTCACAAATTAAAAGAGGAAAGGTTGGGCCGGGGATTTAGTTCAGTGGTGCCACTACCTGCCTCACAAGTGCAAGGTCCCGAGTTTGATCCCCGGTACCAAAAAAAAAAGAGGAAAGGTTTATTTTGGCTCACAGTTTGTAGAGGTTTCAGTTCATAGGAAAGGCTTATTTTGGCTCACAGTTTGTAGAGGTTTCAGCCCATAGTTGGCTGGTTTCCAGGCAGGGTGGGATGGCAGAGGGACACTGCAGAGGAGAAACACCCATCACATGGCAAGCCAGAAGGCAGCAAAGCAAGCAACAAGCCTACCTTCCTTCTTTCCCCTTATCTTCCATCAAGGCTATAAGCCTATTGATTGGTGCAATGCATACCCAGGGTGTGGCTTCCATTATCCACACCCAGATCTGTGCTAATTCCACTCAGTGGACTGAGTTAGTACCCAGTTAATTCCAGTATCACACACCCTGGATCCACCCAGCTCCAAAAAGCCCCACCTATGATGGATGAGGCTTTAGGGACATCTAGATAGAAGCCATAACACTGTCCACTGGTGGTGAGTATAGTCTCCTTTGCATTCTTAAAGATATTTGTTATTACCACCTAAATCCTTGTCTCGCCTTCCACAATTGCGTTATCTCAGCATCAGTCCATTTTGTAAGGTGAGCAAACAGGTTCCAAGAAGTCGTGTGCCAAGGCCTCCCTGTGGGAAGTCTCCTGACTTGTCCAAGGTTGTAGAAGAGGACTCCTGCCCAAGTCTTCTGAATCCAGATCCCGTATGATTTTCCTTGTACCTGTCTCCCCATACTTCCTGTCCTGAGACCTCTCAGAGAAAGTTACTATTTGGGAGAAGGAATGTAGATAAATAAATGCATTTTCTGGACAGATTCTGATTTCTATAATGTAAAGAAAATGGATCAGTGCATAAATCTGGGAACATTCTCTGTAATACTTAAACTCTCAAATATGTTCTTAATAAAGGTAGTTTTTCTCATACAGCATGCATGTGATAGGGTGAGATGGGGTGCAGCTGATGCCCGGGAACTGGTGCTGTTTTAAGGTGCTGGTGACAGTACAGGCAAACTTCCAACCGTCTCTGTCTACCAGGGGAGGAGGGACAGTAGGAAGGAAACCAGATAGGCTTCCTCTCAACCACACCTCTTCCAGAGCTCGAGAAGGAGCAAATTGGGTTCACTTTGGAGCTGGCCTGCTCTTCCTGGGATTTCAGGACATCGCCTCAGACAGTGGCTTTGACGGACTGTTTCTTTAGGATGGATAAGAGTGTTTTCCTTTACAACTCATTTTAAGAGGCCAGTGACAGGAAGTGTCCATGCCGGCAGGGTGCCAGGGGAGCGCAATGGGTAGTGGACCCAGCAGTAGTTAGCACCTGCCGTCTCCAGGCCCTGTGCTGGGCTCCTGGCACATGATCATCTCACTGTGAGCTGTGGCCCTCAGTAAGCCAGGCTGCCCTTCCCTAGATGAGAAGACCAAGATGAGCCTGAGCAGCTCGTCCAAGGTCGCACAGGTAGAAGATGATGTTTGAAGCCGAGACCCAGGCTTAGGCAGTCTGACCCCAGAGCCCACCTTTGTACAGGGAAAGGGGGTCTTGCTATGATTCTGGAGGCCGGGTAGTGAGCTGTGCCTCTGTTTCCCCTTCTGCAGCTGCAGCCTCAGAACCTTCTCAGCCTGGTGCTGAGGAGGTCACTACTCACATCACAAGGAGGTAGGGCCCACGTGGCTCATGCAAGGCCACCTTTGTGCTCCTCACCTTTGTCCAGCTCACGTGCACTAGAGTAGCCTGACTGAAGCAGAAGATTACCAAGAACAGATTTCAAAGAAAGGCCAGGGAGCAGTTATGAAACATGAGAGAAAGTGGAAAACATGAGTCTGGATCCCAGGGTAGTGGTGCTCCCCTGTAATCTCAGCACTCTGGGAAGCTGAGGCAGGAGGATTCGAGCCCAGACTGGGCAACATAGTGACTTAGTGAGACCTTGTCTCAAAATAAGAAAAGCTGAAAGACCTGGGGGTGTAGCTTAGTGAGAAGGCTTTGGATTCTATCCCTGGTGCTGCTGGTGCAAATGAAAGCAGCTTCCTCTTGCCCACCCTTGGCTGGCTGTCAGCGAGCCTTGCTGCAGCTGTCCACAGGAAGTGCTCCTGGAGGGTGCTGTGAAGTCCTGCCACAGGATCTGCTTCGAGACTGCAGCCAGTCTGTGTGGGACTGCCTGTAACCGCTTGCCCGGAGGGTGGGCAGCGCACGCGCTGACCAGGGTCCTAGGGACGGGTGCTGCGGGACCGTGGACACTGGTTGCCCTCGCCAAGAGTCGGCCTTTCAGAACTGCAGAGTGTGTCGCAAGAGCTATGCAGTGGCTTGTGGTGAAGCATCTTACCAAGGCCTGGGCTGATTCTAGTTTTCCATAATTTGGATTTTTGTCAGTCTGCATTTGTAGTACATGATGATCACATTCCTACTGGGGCGTGGATTCACATGCACACAACACATCTTCATCCTTTTATCCCCTTCCTCCCTCCTCACCACTTCTCGGTCCCCTTCTTACTTGCAAAGCGTACTATAAAACTCATTTGTATTTCCCCTTTTTTGGATTTGTGAGACCAGGTCTCACTATGTAGTCCAGGTTGGCCTCAAACTCACGGAGATCCTCCTGCCACAGCCTTTCAAGTGCTGAGTTACAGGTGTGTGCCACCATGCTCAGCTCAATATTAATTTTTAAAGCTAAACTTGAGAATTACTTCTGCAAAATTATGAACTGGAGGGCAAGAGAAATAGGCTGACAGATTGAGCTTGTAAGAGGCTATGCATCATGTTGCTAGTGATTTTTAATTTTTTTTTACCTCAATGGCATTTTTGTTTTCCTAATGTACAATTTTCTAATCAGAAAGGGGAAGTTTTTGTTTGCTTGTTTTTTGGTGGTAATGGAGATTGAACTAGGGACTTTATAATGAAATATTTCTGCAGCCCCTTTTTTTGAGACAAGGTTTCTCCAAGTCGCTGAGTTACCAAGGCTGGACTCCCACTTGAGATCCTCCTCCATCAGCCTCCCATAGCGCTGGGACTACAGATGTGTTACCATCGAGCCCAGCTATGGGAGGGAATTATTGTGCTGTTAACCTGTTGTCAACTTGCTTTGTTGTCACTGTCCAGGTTTTTAAGGAGGAGAAGTACTTAAAAGAGGCCATGGAGTGCAGCGATGTGATTTGGCAGCGAGGTCTTCTCCGGAAGGGCTATGGCATCTGCCACGGCACTGCTGGGAACGGCTACTCCTTCCTGTCCCTTTACCATCTCACACAGGACAGGAAGCACCTCTACCGAGCCTGCAAGGTGAGGAGGCTGCACAGCAACGCTCCCAACATGACCCTCCTCCACTCTCTCTGCCTGGCTCTCCCTGTGCCACAGCTGCTGCTGCACAGCTCTGTCCTGGGCTCCCTGGGCCATGGTGTGCTTGTCTGCAGCACAGGGCAGAACAGGTAGACCACTCCCGAGTAGCATGTGTTCTGCGGTCACTCACACTGTCGGCTCAGTTTCCTCACTTGTAACAGTAGGAAAAAGTATTACCCATCTGCTGAGGTGTTCTGAGAACCAATCAAGATCACATGCAGCTCATGTGCGTGGCTGGGGTTTCCCCACTCCCCGGCCGACCCTCCACTGTACCCACACCGCCACCTGCTCTAGAGGACAGAGACACTGGGTGCCACCTCGTGCCCTTGACTGCTCTGCACTGTCCTTTCTGCCCGCCAGGCCTGCACAGTGACCCCTTGCCGTTCCAATGTCAGTGTGGGGAAGTTCTTAGGCCTGAGCCTCCTGGCTGGAGGACCACGCATGGCCATCAGTTGTGTATTTTTCTTGTTTCTTGAGTGTGTCACACCGGTGCGACATAAATTCCATGTCTCATTTGTCTGGGTCACTACCCTATATCAGGACCTAGAACAGTGAGTGACACCCAGCAGAAATGTCATGAATCTGCTCTGAGTGTGTGAAAGTGAGTGGCACAAAGCAAGATGCACCAGGCGCTTGCTGGTGTTCTGTTGCTGTCCTCGGCTCTCATGATGTACACACAAGAGGAGAGAAGAGAGAAGTCACCAGAGTGTGCACAGTGACCTCTGTGGAGGGATTGTGGCTGATGTATTCGTTACGCTTCCCCCAGGACAGTGAATGTCTCAGCATCACAAGGCCTTTCCTGTCAGTCCTGAGAATTCACATGTGTCTGTGTGGAGCCCACACGTGGGAGACCACCGGATGCTGTGGGAGCAGTAAGAAGTGTGGAGCAGCCCAGCTGTGGGAGGGCAGGAAGTGATGTCCAGGCCAAGACCTGAAGGATGGCTGGAAGTTAATCCAAAGGGGTTGAGGAAAGGAAACTGCGGGTCCACAGGCCTGGAAATGTAGGGATCGAACCAGAGGGACTGGATGAAGTTCATGGTGGCTGCAGCGTGCGGGGTGGGGGGGAAGCAAGTGAACGCAGAGGTGGGAAGCGGTGGGACAGCCCTGACACTGATTACGATGGCAGATGATTAAGTAAAGGAGGAGAACTTGTAGAGATGTCATGAGGGCTCGAGACACAGGTGTTTCTTCAAGGATGGAGTTTCTCAGGTGGGTCAGGAGAGGGTGGTCCCGGAAGGTGGGGTACTTTCAGTGGGGAGGAGAGCTCATACCAAGCTAGTGTGAAGCAGCATGATGTGTCCTGGGGAAACAGAGACTCCAGTGCTGTGTGATGCCACGGAAGAGTGTTTCTGACAGAGGTGAAGCCAGGCAGTAGGCATCGGCCAGAGGTGCTTAGTCCTCTGTTGCTGAGCCTTTCTCAAGCCTGGTTGTGCCCCACCCTCGTCAAATACAGGAAGAAGCTCAGGTGCCAGTCTTTGAAGCTTTGCAGGTGACTTTGATAATCAGCCAGCACTGAATGCTGATTAGGAGGTAGGAGTCCACACCAAGCCCCTCTTTTGCAAAGATTGCCAGGGGTCGTGGTGGGAGGATTAGCAGGGCTTGGGGTTCCCCCAGTGCTGTTTGATCATGAATGCGAGAAACCATTCAGTATATAACCGGCACTGCCTGTGAGGATAAAAAGAGATCTAGGTATATGTTGGATGTGGAACCCACAAAAGTTAGTGGAATTGTTATGTTTTAATGTAAAAAAAAAATACCTGAGTATTTCCCTGAGGAAACCAGGTAGGTAGTGCATCAAACGAGCTAAAAAGTAAGCAGATTTGAAAGGTAGAAAGCAAAATAAGTTTATTTTACATTGCTGAATTTTATATTTGTTATGTTTAACATCTATGATTCTTAATATACAAATTGCCAAAATATTATGTCAGTTTAAACAACAACAACAAAAGGAAGTCTGTTGTGGTGATACGGAAAACCCCACTGGAGAGAGAGGTGAAGAAAGGGACATGGGGCTGCAAGGCGAGCGCCTACAGCGGGGGGCATTTTCCGGAGGATGATGACCCTCGGCGGGCAGTGGAGCCAGTGTGGAGCTGAGGCAGAGAAGCCGGGGCAGGCGACCTTTTCCAGTGTGCCCAGGCTGGGCCAAGGCTGCAAGCTCCCTGCCGATGGCAGAGAAGATGCTGGCGCAGGCAGCCAGGGCTGAAGGCAGCTTCCACCTCACTTCATCCAGATGGAAGGGCAGGAGGCAAGTCCTGGAGGATGGGGTGTGTCTGGATGTGGGTTTCTACCTCAGGCTTCCCTGCAACTTCGAAGGAAGGAGCAGCCTGCACCTCATGGGTCTCAGCCTCAGGGCAGAGGGGCTGTGCTGCCCAGCCCAAGCCCTGTTCCAGACTCTGCTGCCCTGGGGCCTCTGGCTTTGACTCCTGTGAGCTCCCTGCAGGCTCATCAAGCAGCAGTGCTGTTCTCACAAGGACTCTCTTTCCTGTCAGTTTGCAGAGTGGTGTCTGGACTATGGAGCGCATGGGTGCCGCATCCCTGACAGGCCCTATTCCCTCTTTGAAGGTAGGCATTCAGCTTTTGGGTGAGTGGGATAGGCCCTCCCGGCCCTGGGCCTCCCTGCTGTCCCTTTGGTCTTGCTTGAGCAATAACTTTAAAACCACAGTGGCCATGAACAGGTCAGATTAGTGCTGAAAACGATCCTGCACATCTGTCTTTACCACCCCACTCTCCATCCTGTCAGTTCCTCTGGTTCCTAAGACCCGCTGTGAAGGGCTGCAGACAGTGGGAAGGCCTGCGGGTCAGGGATGGAGGCCAGCTTGCCCCTCTGTGTTTTGCCTGTAACAGGGTCTGTCTAATGTCGATGGCTCACAGCAATCTGGCTAGTTGTTTAAAACAAATCATTAAATTATTTAAGGAAGTTAATATTATTAATTATGAGTATTAGTAATTAGGTATATTAGTAATCATAAAACCGTAACAAGAGCTAATGTTGAAGAAAGTTCTGAAGTGGAAGATAGTGACAAATCACCCATAAAACAACAATGACTGGCAGTCTGCTGCAGGCGGAAGAGACAGACTGTAATTCAGGAAAGTAATCCAGTCCCACAGAAAGCCCGGTGTGTGCTTGTGTATGTACTGGCTTGCATTATCAGCCACAGGGATCCAAGGCAGAGACCCACCGGTGTGGGATGAGCTGATAGTTTTAATCACTTTAGAGCCACATGTCTCACCTACCCATCGAACCTTCAGAAGTGACAAATGCACTCTTAACCAAGTAGTGGGTCCTGGGCTCTGCCAGTGCCCTTTCTATGTCAGTGGATAAGACCATGTGCTTTCCCCCTTTAGGCTGCTGATATGGTACATTACATTGATTCTCTTTCAAATATCAAGCCAGTTTCTATCTCTGTAATCATAGTGTGCGGTTCTTTTTACATACTGCATAACCCAACATTTACCAGCATTTTATTAAAGATTTTTCACATGCACTCATGAGACTGTTGTCTCTAGTTTTGTGATTTTACACCATATTTATCTGGTTTTGATAGCCAGATAACACTGACTTAGTGGCTTCCTCTTATTTTCTGTTTTCTGGAAGAGAGTGTGTATTTTGGTGAAAGAACTAGTATGAATATAATTTAAATGTTTGGTAAAATTCTCTAGTACAATCTTCTGGGATTGGAGGGGTCTTTTTCCAGAGCTTTAGAAACAATTTCCGCTTTTTGAACAGTTACAGGGCTGTTCAGGTTTTATCTGTTTCATATTCAATGAGTTGTAGTATTTTGCAGTTTTTGACAGTCTGGCCCATTTCATCAGTGATGTCAGACTTACATGAGTAAAGCTATTGGTAGTATTTTTTATTATGATGATATCTGAGTCAACTGTGGCAATAGATCCTGTGCTATTTCTGGTGTTGGTAGTGTGTTTAGTCACATAGTGGAAGTAGAACACTGGTCAGATCTTTGGGGGAATGTTGTCTGTTTAATATTAAAAAAAGTTATAAGGAAAAATATTTCTTAGAATAAAACTTTTCATTCTCTGCGGCATGAAAATGTGGTGTGCTAAGGTGACAGAAAGTCCCCGCTTCAGACACCGCCTGAGAGCCATTCCTGAAGCCCCCATTCTTGCTTTGCAGGCATGGCCGGCGCCATTCACTTCCTCTCCGACGTCCTCATGCCAGAGACATCACGGTTTCCAGCGTTTGAACTGAGCTCTTCCCAGAGGGATTAAAAAGGTGCAAAAAGACAACTAAGATACCCATTGGACCAAAAGCCTCCAGACTGCCCAGTGCCTGACACACAAGCGTGAACCCTGGAAGGAGAAGAGCAGCGCCTTTCCAGGCCCTGCTGTTGGAGAGACCTCAAGTCAGAGCATGAGTGACAGAAGCCACCCGTCAGCATTTGTGACAGTGTTGCCCTCTGTGTATGAAATACAAATTCTTCACATCCGGTTCCTTGGTGTTTGCATGTTCCCTGGTGTTGTCTTTAGGCATGAGTTGTTCTCTTCACACGTGCACAGAGCAGGGCGTGCACAGGTTCCGTTGGCGGCTGCACTTCTGTGTATATGCATAAGGGTATCATCTCTGTGGACAGCAGGGACTGTTGGGAGGCATCTCCTGTATATTAGGAAGGTCATCAAGGGCAGCATCCTAGTGAGAAGGTCTTGGTGTTTTCCATGGCTACCTTTCTGAAGAACATGAGGAAAAGACCACTCCCAACACTGAGAAGGAACACTGGAGAAGAGAGCATCTGCTGGAACATTTGGGGAGAGCATGGTTAAGGCCACCCCCTTCCTGTTTTGGGCTGGCCTTGGGATTTCCAGAAGTTCGAGGGGGTCGCTGGGACTCCATCAAGGCTCCTCTTGTTTTACCAACCTTACATGAAGTTCATGGGGCTCCTTGAGGTCCAAGGCAGCCCTGAGCTTCACAGTGCCAGTGCCATGAGTAACCTTTACTGACCACATTGTGAATAGCAGTGACTAAATGCTAGTAATTCTAGAACTCACCCAGGTATGTGTTATTACAATAGATCCCATCTCAGTTCTACCATATTATACCGTATTTTACCATATTATAAGTTGTTATTATGTTATTATAAGAACAGTGGTTAAATTGCAAATGGATGGTAGATCACTAAAAGTTTGAAATAAGCTTAGTTGTAAGAACATAGATCTAGTTGAGAATTGTCCTAAGTATAAATTTGGAATGAATACATTCCTTATTTTTCATGTACTTTGGGGGAATAAAATCAAAAGTACTAGTCTGGATTTGTACATATGAGGAGCAACATTCATGTTCTAACCAAGAAAATTACAGTATCATCTGAGTGACATTTTCTTAAAGGGATATTGATTTGGATTAGCACCCCCTTAGTAATTCTGTCCTATAGAATTCCATTTTTAGAGCGGTTTTTGTTATCAGGGTACAAAAGTGGCCTAGGCTTTCTAAGAACTTCTCCTTGTGTAAGGTAAGGTATGCGTCACAGAAGACAGGACTTGGTCCTTGTGCACAGGGGTGTTTAAGGGTCCATCAGGCCTGGTTTCCAGTCCTTTTGTAAAGAGAAAGGAAGAATATCTGTTTAGAAGACCAGTCGCCTTTTATGCATGTGCAGTTTTCCAGGCATTGCTGAACCTGACATGTGACCTTCAGTTTCTAAGGGATGCCCTTGAGCCTCCTCATTGCAGACAACCCTGCTTCCAAGTCACAGTTTCTTCCACATTAGCGTGGTGGCTTAACCCTCATGATTAAGCTTTAAGTGACTTCCTGCCCACTGATGGCTTTTCAGGGGGGTCCAGCACCCCATTCTAGCCGAGGACCTCACATGATACCCAGTCTCATCCAACAGCACAGTTCCCACCCTCCCGCCCATGTCATGGAATAACAACACACACTGAGCTTGCTAAGGAGGCCCAGCTGCCTCCTTTCTGTGGGAGCAGAAAGTGGGACTCACCAAAGCCCTGGGCTCTCAGTATAGCCCTACCCTGCAAAGGGAGACTGCAGGGGTGCCCTGATTCCAGCCCAGTGCGCTTGCTCCTGTGCATGTGTGAAAATGACCTGCTCAACTTTCTGACCAGCATGCTGAGGAGAGAGAAAATACCCGTGGCACAAATGGAGCAGATTTATTGTCAAGGTTGGAAAGCCTTCTGGGTCAACACCTTGCTCCTTATCCTCTGGTTACTGACAGCTTGCAGTTCTGTGACTGCATGGACCCCTTTTCTCATTTCTGTTACATGGGCTGCTGTATGAAGGCCCAGCTCCCAGTTCCTACAGGCGGGGGGGAAATGGCACATACCGCAGAGGGAGGGGGGTCCATGGACATCCAGCTAACGGTTGTAAGTGTTCAGAATCAGATTTCACAGCATCTCACGTCCATTTATTGGACTTGTTTGTGTCCATAACTGTGTTTTCCAGAATGTAAAATTTAAAAATATGTACACCCACAATACCATTTTAAAATCTGAAGGAAAGAAGTTGATGTCCACAAAAATTGTTTAGGGTTCTTTGGTTTTGTTAGTAAAAGCAGTTTTGTGGTGATAGCTGTGGAATTTTCATTCGCTCTTGTTTCTGTGTGGGCAGTGGCCTGGGTGAGGTGCGCTGGTCCCTGTTCTGAAGATTTGTTTCTTTGTGCAAAAATGTGGCCATCTTTCGCTCTATGATGTCCCAGCTGAAGGTCTCTGTCCATGCCCTCCTCTTCAATTCCAGTGAGACCTTTTGCAGCCTGGATGATGAAGTAGCCGCCACCAAGCGGCCCTGGGCCATGCCCAGGGCACACAGTGGGAAAGTGGATGGGCATGTCCTCATAAGGCCCTTCCTCGGTCCCTGTCAGCTCAGGTCATTTGTGTTGCTGCCTTTGCTAAATTCAAAAGCTCTGCAACCTAAGTTTAAAGTTGGCTCCCTAGAACATTTTTACAAACTCACTATTCCTCCTCGCTCCTTGGCTGTAGCTCCTAAGGATCTGCCTTTCTTGAGCTTCAGAGTCTAGCGAGAAGCCGGGCATGTGGTCGGGATGGGGCCGTGAATGCTCCTCAGGAAGTGAAGAGCCCGCTGAACTCTGCACAGAAGTTTATGTGCATATGAACATTTATCTGGAGACAGGTCTGTTTTTTATCAGAGCTGCAAAGTGGTTTATCACTCAAAAAGGATGTGTCAGGCCATGGGGTAAAGAATATGCATCAGCAAGCTGGGCTTCAGAGCAGGGAGCAGGGGACAACACGGCGGGGAACAGGAATCAGGAGGTGCCCTGGTGTAGAGGAAGACTCACACCCAGTGGAAGGCACTAGCTGCACGTGCCCAGCTTCTCACAGGTCATTCTCAGGAGAGCAGCAGTGAATTCCAAGTGGGCTCATTGTCTGGTGCTGATTGGCTCCTCTACTTCGGATTCGTGGGAAGTGAGGTCCGGGCCTCTGTGAGGCTGTGCGCTGTTCACTGCCTGTCCCGCTGAGGACAAGGCTGTGAGCTCCTTCGTGGCCCTGTGGGGCCCACTGAAGTGCTGGTGAGCGCAGGCACGTGGTGCAGACGTGGAGGCTCCAGAGCCCAGTGTTCACCTCTGCTCAGCCACTTTCTGTGAGAGCCTCAGTGATTTCCTGAGCCTGGGTTCCTTTCTGAAGTGACAGGATCTCCCACATTTGGGTGCGAGGGAAGTGCTTTGTCCTGATGATGGAGATGTGGGTGCATTGCTTTCATGTGGGCAAACAGGCTCCTTGCCAAGGGGCTGGAATAAAACCCAGGTCTGCCCAGCCCACATCCCACCACACCGTGGTGATTCAGGCCTGTTCAAAATCTAGGACTTGAGAGAGGCAGAGGTCTCAGCCCCTCTGGCCTTTGCATTGTTTAGTTCCTCCTGGTCTGGTGACACCTCCCACCCCATCCCACCCCCTGCACAAGACAGACTTGTTTCTCTCACGGTCAGATCAGACAGTGCCCACAGGAGAATAAACCACGGCCAGTAGCACAATCACAGTCCCGAGAGTCTTGGGTTGCCCGGTTCCTAGCAAGGGTTGTAGAGAAGTTACCACTTTAGGGTCATCTCTGGAACTAGGTGTGATCCCCAAGGTAAGAGGGGAGCAACCTTCATCATCTGACAAAGAACAGGCAGTGCCTCTCCGCCCGGGACCCCACCAAGCCCCTCCAGAGGCTGCCTGGAGCAGGACCAGGGCCACTCAGCTCCTCACTGCGCCAGAGGGAGAAGACTTGCAGTCTCGTATGCCTGAAAGATGTCTTTACTCGGCTCCAACACCTGTCGTAGCTTGACTGTTTAGAATCCTTGATTAGAAACCCTTTTCTAATAGGAGTATGAGTTTTTGCAGGCTTTGTGCCTATTTATTTGTATGTGATCTTGTGTTTTATAGATTCACTCTGTAAGTTGTGATGGTTAATCATGCTTGGATTGACATATGCCTAGGAAAGTGGTGGAGCACACCTCTGAGTGTGTCTGTGAGGGGTTTCCAGAGGACAGCATGTGAGCCAGGGTGCAGGCCCACCCTAAATGTGGGTGCTGTGGCCTGGATGGAACAGGAGTGGAAGGAGATGCCAGTCAGCATGTCCTCTCTCTCCTCGCTGCATGAGGCGAGCAGCTTTCCTCACCACACTGTTCTGCCGTGAGGTTCTAATTCACCAATGGAACCTGTCAACCATGGACAGAAACCATGACCAAAACAAACCTTTCACCTTGGGGTTGCTTTGCTCAGTTATTCGTGAGCGCAGTGAAAAAGCTGGCTAACACACACATTGCAGGATTGTGTTTCTATCTGTCATGATAACGGGCACTCCTGGTTCTTGGCAGGGCTGTAACTGTCTTTCTGTAAATTCTTTCAGTTCTAAAACTTTTTCTTGAATTATTTATTTCTTTCCTCCTCTGATGTCCTTGTCTCTTTTTCTTGAACACCTATTATTTAGCTATTAAGCCTCTTCTATTTTATTCCCTATTGTCTTTTTTATTTACCTTCTCAGAGGATTCAGGTTTTTCTTTCAGTTCTTCTGTTGGATGTTCCTCCTTTTTCTTTTTCCAGTAAGGGATTTTGACTAGAGCCAAGGTGCGGAAGGCTGTGGGTGGGCAAGGCTAGGCAGGAAGATGGTGGGTGATGCTCTGCATGGTGAGTTCAGAGACTGTGAGAGTGGACTAGTGCCGAGTTTACGAGAAGTCTGCGATGGGCTTGGCACTTTGGCACTGTCTGTACATCCACCTTATGAAGTCACTGTGACATGAGATTGCTGAGCATATGAGCAGAAAGAGAGCAGAGAGGAAGCCAGAGCCAAAGGCTTAGGCCAAGCAGAATGGACAGGGACTAGAGAGGCCCTGGTGCGTGTGTGAGAGGAGAGTTACACTGCTTCAGGTGGGACCTGACCATGAGGTTGAGCCACATGGAGCCATCAGTCAGTGGTCAGCAGGGCAGACAACACACAAAAGGAGTTTCACTGCACAGCAGAGGAAAAAGCAGCCTGGGACTGCTGGCAAGAGAGTCAAGAAAACATCGTAAGTTCAGAAAAATCACAGCATGTCTGTAAATTGATGGGGTGATCGATACATGGGCAGAAATGAAAGAGACAATGTAGGACTTGGGGGCTGCTAAACCAATCTTGAGCAGAAGAGGGTGGAGGCCCAACCAGAGCTCGTGGCATGGACACTGATCAGACTTGGTTCACAGATGCCTGTGGGCGGCAGTGGTGTAGGAACTGTGGCAGTCTCTTCTCGTTGCTTCAGTTTTCTCAGCAGCATCTGCTGGGTGAGGATGGAGGAGGAGGAGGTGTGGGTGAGGAGGAGCAGTGTGCATCACTGCCCAGGATTCTGGGAGAACCAGCAAGGACTCCTGCATCATCTGCTCAGAGGTCCCTGAGGACCTAGGGCAGCGCCATGCCTGGCAAGTGTCCCAGGCAGGAGGTTGGGTCAGGCTCAGAATCTGTTTCCAAGGTGTTCCAGGGTGAAGGGTCACTGCAGATCCCAGGACCCACTGCAGAACACCTCAGGTCTCCTGGGATCCCTCGGGTAGGTCCCTGGGAGGTGACAGTACCAGGGCCCACGTGGTCCTGCACATCACTGAGCAAGTCTGTGGCTTGTTGTTTCCTGGTGGCTGTTAGTGCATCTGAACTGCCTTTTCCTGCTGGGGCTCTTGTTTCCATTCGCAAATATTTGGTATTTGTTCTCATCCACGTGAGTCATCTTTCACATTAGAGGGCACAGTCCCAAGCTGCAGAGGCTTCCAGGAGATGAGAGTGGGGACAGGGGTCAGAGGTGCTGGGCACGGGTGATTCGTGTCCACAGAGCATGGCCTGGCTGGACCTTTTAGCTGGGAGCCAGCAGGACCAGCTTGCAGGACCCCTCTGCCCCTGCCTTCAAGATGGCAAGAGGGGACAGAGGAGGGTGTGGGAGGCCACCCCTGCTTTGGGATGGCATTTGGGAGGAGGCTGAGGGGAGCCCAGGCCCGGTTCATGCCAACCAAGTGCCCCACCCTGAGCCACACCCAGCCCCAGAGTGGCAGTCACACCTCCCTCTTGGTTCAGAGACACTGACTGTGCCACTTTTCAGGAAAATGGTGCTGCTGCAGTTCTGCATGGGTCGAGAGACACCTGGAACAGTGACTCCCTTCACCCCTCACTGCCTGCACTGGGCACTGGGAACCAGCACCACCAGGCTCCCAGTCACCGTGCTTTGCACATGGGGCTCACTTTGCTGCTCTGTCCTCCCCTGCTTCCTAGCTTCCCTCACTTCCCGTGCACCCGTGTGTCTGTGAGAAGTCACTCACTCCCTGGGGCACAGCAGGAAGCAGCTGCACAGTGCCCACAAGCGCTCCTGAGGCCCCACACACAGGCTTACTGTCCTCAGCTCTTGGCTGAGGTTGAGGAGCCAGGGTTGGCCAAATATTTTTAAGTCCATGAGGGTTTTTTGTTGTTCTTTTTCTTCTTTTTGCACCACTGAGGGTTAAATCCAGGGCCTTTGGATGGAGCCACCTCCAGCTCTTTACTTTTTATTGAGACAGGGTCTTACTAAGCTGGACTCGGACTTTTGATCGTCCTGCCTCAGCCTCCTAGAGTTCTGGGATCACAGGTGTGGGACACCAGCCCAGCCTTTCATGATGAGTTCCAGCTCAGTAATTTCTCTGGAACTCTTCCTGTGCCGTTCTGCATATGAACAGGCATCAGCAACATCTCATGTTAAGTGGAATCTTTTATCCTTTGTCTTTTTGTTTTTGTTAGTACATGCTTGCAGTGTATGAGTACACTCACCTTGGGAAACTGATACATATACATATTGCACGCCTTGATTATTTTAAGCCCCACTCCCCACTCCTTCCCATCTCCACAGTCATCAGAGTGCCCTGTGCTCCTTATCACCAGGGTCAGTGTCCCAGGCTGAATCCTCTGGGGCCCAGCACAGCCCAGCTGTTATTGGCTGTACCAAGCTCCCAAATGGTTCTGTGTTTTTTTAATTCTCTCTCTTTGAATTATTTTGCTAGCATAATTCTGTGATTTTTGTTATATATAGAAAGCCTATCCATTTTTGTCAAATGGAAAAATGCATGTATTAGTTCATTTTCTCTCA